TCAGCTTGGCCCAGAATATGACGGCTTTGGCTCAGCTTCTCCAAACTTGGGCTTGCAAAAGCCCAACTCAAGCTGCATGCCACCGCAAGCCATAAGCTAGTGGCTCAGCTTGGGCTTGGCCGCAGCTTGCATCCCAATTAGGCAGGTGCTGTGGATTGACCTTGTCACAGTTCCACGGCTGCCACGCATAGACACACAGTTATATACAGCATGTAAATGGTTTGCTTCTGTAGTATATATTCTAAATACATGCTTTGAGATGTAATATAAATGTAGAATGCCAATAAATTTGCTCAGAAACTCAAGCTTCATACAAACAAGAAAATCATTGTAATACTGGTATTGCCGGCGCATCTTTGCATTATACAATATCTTGGCTACTTGTATGAGTTTATATCATTATTGTTTAGAAGAGCAAGATCTCAAGGTCCCTGATTGCAAGCCTCCTGCACATTTAAGATTGTCTCAGCAAGATCCTGGGCCAATTCAAGTTCCTCTGCCTTCATCAAGGAAGACAGGAGAAAGAGAGGATGCACCAGATGAAATGCACAAAGGTGGCTGCACACAAGTGGAAGACAGCAAAAGCTGACATGATGCAGCAGGCACCTGTCACAGTTGGGAGTGCCAGGGTGCCAACAAGCTGCAGAAGGTGCAGCACTGCAACATTCTATGTGCACCTTTGAGTGGCTGCACCCAGATGGACCATCTCATACCTATCAGAGGGTTTGTCCACCAGTGTGCATATTGTGAAATACCTCGGTGTGGACACCCTGGAGGTGGCATTAGGCTATCTGGAGGCCTCATAGCACTCCACCATACTCGCACATCACCAGGCTACCCCAGCTCATAGGCTCTGATGCCACCTCACACTCCAGAGAAGCCAAGCATGGTACCCCGACCATCTGCTGGCTTGAAATCCATAACATTTCCATGCACACTAGCTAGCTTGAGGGTGCCACTTGTACATGCAACTCTAAGTTGAAATTGGTTGATTTGTGTGATATTTACCAGGGGAGGACTGGTCTGAACTGGTCTGAACTGGTCTTAGACTGAATTCAGTCCTAGACCGGTCATGGCTGATCTTGGACTGCAAGGAGGACTGCACAGGACCAGGACCTGATCTTAGTCCGGTCCTGCACAAACTTGTGCTGGTCCTTGACTGGTCAGAGTCCTGGTCCGACACAATTTCTGAAAAAGACCGGACTGGACCGGACCCTCAACCACTAATGCCAGGGCAGTGTTACGAATACTTATCAACGCACGAACCTTAGAATATCGAGCTTACCAGTCATTACAGACAAAATCGCAATGACGACGACGGTCGCTTTCTTCGTCAAGGGCAGTCTCAGAAGAAAATGCGAGTTTGGCGGTACTTGGGCTCTGTTAAACGAAGGCGCAGTTCTGGTCGCGGTTGGGGCACGACAGGGCGCTTCATCGCAGAGTCGGGAGGCTCCGGAGCCTCCCGACTCTGCGATGAAGCGCCCTGTCGTGCCCCAACCGCGACCAGAACTGCACCTACCGCTTGCTCCACGATGATTTCATAAAGGAATAGCCACAAGACTAGGTTCTTGGGGTGGACGGATGAGAGCTGCTTAGTGCGCTTGTTCCCTTTGGGACTGCCGGCGGAGTAGGAGTACTTCGCTGCTTAAGCTTCGTCCCGGCGATTTATAGCGGTACGCACGCTGCTCTATGTTGCATTTCTGAAGCTTGAGAGACACGGCAAGCATGGCCGAACCAACCGTTCATATGTTGCCGCCTATGGTTCCTTCGGTCTCGCTACATCTCGATAACACGCTCGGCGTGATACTCATTGGTGAGAGGATTGCAAGTTCGGACATAAACATTGGCTGACCTGCGCGATAGCCGAAATCCTGGTAGCAATGTTAGTGGTATCAGGGCACTGAACATGTGGTCAACCTTCTACATCAGCAAAACCGCCAGCTCTTGGCGGCCGTCTTGGGCTTGAGGGGCCGTCTTGGGCTTGACACGGGTGTCTTGAAGCGTCTTGAGCTTAGCAGGCTGTCTTGGGAACTACCTTGGGCTGGAGTATGAGATAGTATGATATGCACTGAGCATTGGAGGTTATATATTGATTGGCCTGAAGTACTCTGTCGTATCCCTGCACACAGTATGTGAGGCAATGTGCTCGGAGTCTCGTCAATGCGTCTGCGAGCCGCGGGGACCCTTAAGCGCCAACTCCCTTTGGGCACTTAGAGTTGTCGGAAGCTCCCGGAGATGTTGACTTGTTGATTTGCCACGACTTCCCTTCTCCCTTCCAACAGTCACGTCCCTCTTCCGCGGTTGCACTCCACCATCGCTAACATAACATGGATCAGAAAGGATAAAGGGTGGTGTCGAGACACTTACAGGGCACAGACGCAAAGGGGAAAGGCCTGGACACAGGACGGGAACGATACAGTGAGCACGTTTGTATCAGGGAAAGGCTATGTACTCAGCAAACCACAACCAATGACAAGATGACCGGAATATAGCGCGTTTTGCCACGCGCAGCGCGTTCCGTGCAAGGGTCTACAACCGTCATCAAATACACCCAGCAGCTCGACTGATCAAGTAGCCGTAGTGGACGTGATCACACTCCAGGACATCAGAAGATGTCGTCCCCGCCGACCAGGCTGACTCACTGAGGACCAAGCAGTGAAATCAACATGCTATAATCCTTAAATTTGATCTTTTCAGCATAGGAGGTGTGTTGTGCCACCGCCACCTGAGCTTCTCTCACTCCTAACAGTCGGTTTGTCCCAGACCATCTGGCCCACATGACGCTGTCCATCACAAAATCACAGCTCCGCCTCCACAAAGCCACGATCAGCTAGAAATTCGGTTTGCCTGAGCTTGTATCATTGGTACCTTCACAGACCTCCTTCCTGAAATTCTTGTAGAGCATGTCGGCATACGGTGTCGAAACATCCAGGACACAGGCGCCCTTTGGTAGGTTGCAGGCAGCCCAGTATGATTAGCCTGTGAAAGCGGGCGATGGCGACGGTGAGCATGGGCAGAAGGCCGCTGGGCGCTGCCCTCTGATTGGTGGA